TTTTTTTTTTTTTTTTTGGTACCGGGGATCAAACTCAGGACCTTGCGTTTACGAGGCAAGTGACGGAACCATTGAGCTAAATCTCCAGCCCCGTTTTCTTAATTTTTTTGGCTTTGTTCTCTTTTAACTTTATAAACATACAGTTTTCAGTAAAAAATACATTTGACTTGGTTGTATTTTTGTTTTGTAACTTTGGGGTTCTTAGGATAGTTGACATCTAAAGTAAAAAAAAAAAAAGTACATTTGTTATGCATATTTTGGTATACTCTAATGATTTTGACAAAGTATACATAGATGTTAGAAAACACTTCCAATTTAGTTGTTGCACTTTTCTCATTGTTGCATCTAACTGAAACTTGCTGGGAACTGTAGAACACTTCTGTGGGTATTCATTACTTCAGTTGGAGTCATGGTACCAACCCATGGAAGCCTTTAAAACAAAGAAAGGGAAAACAACAACAAAAAGCTCCTGTAGGCTTAGAACATAGGGAATCTGTAACATTTGTATTATAATCAAATCCGCATCACTGCCACCCCGCAAAGAATAAAAGAAACTAATGACTGACTACTTCATTATCTTAAAAAGAATTTGTTTTGTCAATATTTGCCAATGAACCAAAAAGAATCTGACATTTGTGAATATATTCTGTAGTCGTAGCCTACAATCAAATCCACAGAACCTTTAAGAACTAGCAACTTTATGCTCTTACACAACTTTAAAATCTGCAAAAATTAGCATTCTAATGTTTACTCCTCTTTGGAGATATGATAATTTAAAATTTCCTCTTGCTGATCTTCACTTTTACATCTCATTCATAAATGTTTGTGATCAATACTTAAATGATTTCAAGTATTATTGACTTATCTATTGCTACCACAAAGTAGTACAGCATTTTAGTTGTTTTCTTGCTTATGAAACAGCCAATTTCCTTATAAGTTTCATCATTACTCATTATTCTTTTCAAAAACAGCTCAAATGAAACTATGGTTTCCTGAGTTTTCCTGCATCATTCTATTAATGTATTTCTCCAAATCTAGCCATAAGGACCGGTTATCACACAGCATTTCCTAACAGATTGAAATCCTTATGTTTTCAGTTAACAGCCCTCTATGAAGGCACTCTTTCTGGGAACTATCTCATCCTATCAGTATGTGAAGCAGTTGGCCCTCCAAAATATAAATGATAAAAAATAGGTTTCATATCTGATATTTTGTTACCAGGCATTTTTCCTTTGTAGCTTAATTATTGAGATTTTATAAGATAACACATATAGGAGAAAGATTTTTCAATTCAGAGGCTGGAAAAAAACAATGTAGCATTTTATAGTAAATGATACTTAATTTTTATCTTTAAGGTAGTTGTTAAAAACTTTTTTTATAACTACACTTAATTGCCTTTCTTCTAACCTTGAAAGTTTGTCTAGAGTTTGAAATTAATCAAGAATTCTCAAGCATTTGACTTTAGAAATATTTTATCCTGTTGCCTTTTATTCATATTCTTTGGGAACCAGTATGGGGGGATGGATGATAATACTCATTTATTTTTATTTGCTTGAAAATACTGCTATTGTTTCTACCACTGGCAGATTCAGTGAATAAGTGGCAAGGCACTTTTTCAACAAAGACAGTAATTTTTGCTTTGAAGTTCATTGAATCCAATAATACACAATCCCTGGGCATATGTTCCTTGTGAAATCTGTATTTAGTCCTGAATGTTCAATCTATTTTGTCTTTTATTTTGAGGAAATTTATTCTTGGTTGACTTAAATGTTTGGGTTACCTTATTATAAAATTGAATAATTAAGTTCTGCATCAGTTTTGTCTGCACTATGACATTATTTCAGACTACCTCACTTTTTGAGTCTGTAGAAATGATTCCTCTTTCTATATCTAATTTTGTGTTCAAATGTTATTACAGCTTGGCCAAATGCAAGCCTCCACCTAAATTATTTTCATATTTGTTAAATGATGGGCAAAAAGTAGACTGGTAAGAGATGAGGTGAGAGAGGAGGTTACATCATAGGCAGGTATAAGAAGGACATAATGAATTCAGATTTTATTCTTAGTGAGATGGGGAGCTGTTTAAATGGGAATGACATGATGTGATATACAATTTTGATTATTCTGGGTACAAGAGAAAAATGTGGAGCAGGAATAGGAGACTAGAGAAAAGGCTCTTAGAGTAATCCAGATAGGAATGAGTAACTGAGGAGACAGATTCAGATATATTTTGCAGAAAATGTTTAGAAGACTTCAGAAACTGAACATAGATGCTAAAGAAGCATCAAAAATAAGCCTGGGCTCAATACTCACTTTATGCTACTGCTGTGGCTGCCTAGGACTTTGTGTGACTCCTGTTATGAGGAGCCTGTGCTTTTGCTATAACTGATAAGCCAGGTTTTAAGGCTTGAAATGTATGAGGTGAAAACGGGAGAAACAGGTTTAGAGGGGAAATTCAAAGTTCTGTCCAGCTACATGACATAATTGTAACATTTTCACATTTATGAGACGTTAAAAGTACTTTCAGGAAATTATTCTGAAACTTTTAGTAGTAACAATGCCAATACAGTCCACAAAATATTTCCACATTGCTTCACATAGCAGACATGAATCTCCCTCCTCCCTCAACTTCTACCCATCATATCCACTAGTGAATTAGCAGTTTGGTTAGCCAAGAGGGGTTTCTAAACTCAGTGCTATTGACATTTAGATGGGATAATTCTTTTGGGGAGGGCTTGTCCAGTATAGGATGTTTGGCCCACTACATGCCAGCAACATGACCTCCCAGTTGTGAAAACCAAAAATACCTGTAGTTATCGCCAAATGTCTTTGGGTGACAAAATCATTTCTATTTATTTGAGAACCACTGTCTTACACTAACCAACAGAACTTTTTAGCACAGTGCTATTAGGAACAACTATCACTGTGCACTAGTTAGAGCCTTTTGTATTACCAGAACAAGCAGAAAATAAATTTCAAAAACCTAAGGTTATAAAAAGAATATATAAATGTTTTTAAATTATCTTTAAGTTAAAGTAAACATAATCTACTCAATAGTCATTTGATGCTAGACCAGCCTTTTGAGTATCTACTGAATGGATGTCCAACTTTTTACAATGCATGATTCATTTTCTACCATTTTTAGTTTCAGGTACTTCAAAGTGGGACAAAAAATGGATTTTGCCATCATTCTTATTTTTTAGTGAAATGTTTATCCAATCTTCTAATTTCCTCACTCATGCCTAATTTAATCGTATTTTGGCTGGAAGTGAGTTATTGGGGGAGCAACTAGCTTTTAGTGTTTCTAATGCATTCAGCTTAGCTTTAAAAACAAACCAACCCTTCTCTTTTATACTCACAATTCAGGGCTGCTGAATATTTAACTAAAGTACATAACTTCCCTAAGAACAAAGGTTCTATAAAGACTGCCACTAGCTAATTGTAAACCATTTCATCTGGTGAACAGGAGAGAAATGGGGTATTAGAGAGATACCACAGGCTTCCCTATACCATGTTATAAGCCAGTATACCCTGTCAGGCTAGTTTTACCAGGTGGAAACTGGTTAAAAGATACTCTGTGTGCCAAACACTGTGTAGTCTACTTTTGCATTATCTCTTTTAATCCTCACAACTGTAAGACATAGGTATGTCAACATTTTTGCTTTCCCTCTAAAAAAACATTCCCTGAAACATAAAGACAAGTATCTTACAGAAGGTTACATAGGTAATTAAAGAAACAAGACATAAACCCCAAGCATTCCTTATTTTAAAATTTTTATTAGTACATGTTTACAGAACATGATTACATTCATTGTAAGGAATTGGTAAATGTACATAGCACTTCTGAATTCTTTTTTCCCCCTTGCCCTCCAACCACCCCTTTTTAAAAACTATTTTTGCCAGGATCAGATTCATTTATTTTTATAAGTCTTTATCAAGTTAATTAGCATAAGCACAGATTAACAGCTAGACTAACAGCAAAAGAAAAAAATCAAACAGATAAGACAGTAATAGTAAAGCAAGGTACACTTTTAGATACACTGGCCATCCTGGATCACAATAACATTTTTTTTTTTGCTTTTTTTCCCACTGTCTTTTATTTTGCATTATATTTATATATTGGATTTCTCTTATAAGAAAAGCCATGGAATAGTTAAACTTGTTTGATTTACTGAACATTATGGTCTCAAGGTGCACACATTTTCCTACAAATGACTTATTTATTCTTCTTTATGGCATAGTACTCCATTGTGTATAAATACCATAATTCCTTTATCCATTCATCTGATGGATTTATAGGCCTGCTTCCAAGATTTAGCTATTATGAACTGTGCTCCTATAAACATGGGTATGCATGCATTACTGTAATATTATGACTTTGGGAATACACTGTACCTAGAAGGGGGATAGCTGGGTCAAACGGAATTTCTATTTTTGGTGTTTTGAGGATTCGCCATACTGATTTCCATAGTGTTTGTACCAGAGAACCCCAAGCACTCTAACATGTGCTTTACCATTTCATCACTAGCCCAAGGTGATCAGGGTTAATTTTCTACAGAGTAATGGGTTCTGGTCTAGTCCATGATCACATACGGTATCTTTGAATTTTGACTTGTCTTCTTCAAAGTGAATACTGTACCAAGAATTATGAGAGACCAATATAAATCTATTACTTGGAACAATTCAAAAGACTGATAAGAAACTCAGTGACTCAAAAGTCTTGATTACACACATTTAAAGATAAGCCAGGCAAGTATTATTTATAGTTTCCTATTTTCTGTAGTAACAAATTATCACAAACTCAGTGCCTTAAGAAGTACAAATTTATTGTTTGTGCACAGGTTAGAAGCCTGACGCAGGTCTCAGAAGGCAAAATTCAAGGAGTTGGCAGGGCTATATTACTTGCTGGAGACTATCCGAGAATCCATTTCCTTTATGTTTTCCAGCTTTTATAGGCCACCTCCATTTCCTGGCTTGTGACTTCCTTCTGACACCAACACCATTCATCTAGTCACCTCTCTGATGGTGAAAAAGACCCTGTGACTACACTTGGGCCCATGTGTATAATCCAGGCTAATCTCCCTACCTTAACTCCTATTAACCATCTATTTTTAGTAGACATTTTTACAAAGTGATGAGACTGAAAGTTCGATTTCTGAGAACAAATGAATCACCTGTGTAATTATAGATCACTATAGATATATGTAGTTTAGTATTCTAGTAGTCGAATCAGTCTTACCACTTTCCACACAAGATCATAACATATATGTTTTGTTACTGCATGTGTTTAATGATTGATACTGTGTAATCCAAGATGCTGAACAAAAATTAATAATTTTTATTAAAGTTTTCTATTTAGGACTCTTCCTGAATGTGTTTTAAATGACTAGTGTTCATTAAAGGGATTATTTCAAAAGAACTATCATTCCCATCTTCTTATGTCTCTCTATCCAGACAGTGGCTTTATTTCTGACATATCTGGGTGGGACAGGCAATGAATTTAACTCACTTTTGTTCCTTGGCATTTTTGTAAGTTTTTACCTAACACTGATTTAATGGAAAACACTTAATTGAAAGCAGTCATGGAGGTATCTAAGCCACTATTAAGTAAAAGAACTGCTGTATTTAAAACTGTCATGTCCTGTAAAAACTTAATTCCAGAAACTATGAGTTAATAAGCCTCTATGATAATAAAGGTGATAAATTCAATAAGACAATTAAAATGGCAGATATTAGTAATAAATATCATTTACTGACTACTGTACCTGTGTGCCCCACCCTTTGTATTATTTCATCTTTAGAACCCTGTATAGTCGTCACAAATGAAGAATGAATAACAAAGGCACAGTAACTTGCCAAGTACCACAGAACTCTCTAAGACCAATGTGTTTCAGTTCAAATGTTTTTTTATTCATTAATATATTAAAAACATTTAAGTATGATCTAACATCCTTACTTATTTGAAAAAAATGACCCAGAGCTGGGGGTGTAGCTTAGTAGTAATGCCCTTGCCTATTACGAAGGAAACCCCGGGTTATCCCATGCTGGGTCATCCCCAGCATCACAAAATAATAATGATGAAATAAATGCTTTGAAAAATTTAAGTGATTAAATTTTCAAAACTAGCATTTGAGTACAATTATGTAAAACATGAACATAATTATGATTATTCTTAAAATATTTTGCAGAGTAAAAATTTGATATCCACTTTTAAATGCTTTAGATAGTTACTTAAAACTTCAGGTCTTTGAACTTAAAACAGTTGCATAGCTCACTGAAATCCAAGAGAAAACAAAAGGCAGCATTTAAAGATAAATAATCAAGAGATTTAAGTAACTGAAGAAATGTAAACAAAATACTTGACAAGTTGAAAACCTTTTCTACAGATTTTTATTTATGCTTTTGTTATAGGAGATGAGTATGATGTATGTGCCATTTGTTTGGATGAATATGAAGATGGAGACAAACTCAGAATCCTTCCCTGTTCCCATGGTATGAGTAATTACATACTGCTTTGAATTTACAAATATAGTAATTTATATTTAGGTTCAGTATTACAAGGGAAGAGAGAAAATAGTCATTAGCACACCATAAGCTAGACTCTGTGCTAATTAATAGTCTCATTAAAGGGCAGGGGTGTTATTTATAAAAATGTACAAACTTTTCTTCTCTTGTCCCTACATGATGTATACAGATCACAGCACTGAATAAATGTAAGAGATTAAATAGAATGTTGTCAACAGTTTACTAACTGAAGATGTATACTTACTTTGCTTCAACAGCTTATCACTGCAAGTGTGTAGACCCCTGGCTAACTAAAACCAAGAAAACCTGTCCAGTCTGCAAGCAGAAAGTTGTTCCTTCTCAAGGTGATTCTGACTCTGACACAGACAGTAGTCAAGAAGAAAACGAAGTGTCAGAACACACCCCTTTGCTTAGACCTTTAGCCTCTGTCAGTGCCCAGTCATTTGGGGCTTTGTCAGAGTCCCACTCACATCAGAACATGACAGAATCTTCAGACTTTGAGGACGATGACAATGAAGATACTGACAGCAGTGAGGCAGAAAATGAATTGAATGAACACAGTGTTGTGGTCCAGTTGCAGCCTAATGGTGAGCAGGACTGCAACATAGCAAATACCGTGTGACTTTCAGGAGACAGGTTTATTTCCCTTTGAAACATTTATTTAGGTATATAATGATTTTTTGCTCCTTTTAGAGACTTCTGTAGAAATACTTATTTTTTAGTGTTCTAATTTAATCAGATTATGAAAACAGGCTTTTATCTGGTACTTATATGCAGGACTATACTTCATTTACTAATAAGTAATAACAGACTGGTGCTGTAACTCAGGCATCAAGGATGAAAATATAACCAAAACATTTTTTAAAAATCTCCATATAGCTCACGATTAAGACTTAGATTACAGTATGCAAATGTTTTGTTGTTTTACACATGAAATCAGCACCGTGGCTATCTAGCATGAGCTAAAGCCAATGCTCACAGATCCCTACAGTCACCTAAAAATGAGTTGGAATATGTTCTGGTATTTCCCCAAGTTGCCTTCATTAGTGAGAAGCAACAAGGTATTTTACCATTTCTCCTCCTATCAGCACCACATAGAAAACTCTGTCTTCATTTCTCTTCCCAGTCTTAATCCTGATATGAAAGATCTGTAACTGGTGCAGATTTCAAAGGGTTTTATTACTAGTGTTAAGTATGAGTATGATTCAACAGGTAATGTCTTTGGACTTACCAGATTTCAGTATCCTTAAGGGTTTTGTGTTGTGATCAAAGCAAAAAGAAAATGCTGCATAAAAATACCAAACTTCAGCAACTGTTAATACTCAGATCATATACCTCTTAATAAGGAGCATCTTGTGCTAATCAGCCCTGCTAACCTATGTACAGAGAAACTGTTCGAAGTATTGGATTTGAAAATAAGTGCTTCTGTTTAACAGAATTAATGTACAGAAATGATGTATTATGAAAAGCTAAATTATACACCATTTTAACTATGTAGAAATTATAGAAATGTATACTCAAACTAAGAATTTTTATATGGCCTTGTATGAGGGGAGTCTGAATGTTAATAAAAATTTTCCATTTAAAAAACTAGTAAATGTTCTACTGTACTGTTACCACATAGCTTTATATGCAGACTGTAAAGGTGTAATGATTGTGGTAAGATAAACACGCCACCTCACAATTTTATACACAGTAACCACTCACAAGATTTAGGTTATCTATGGAAAGAAACTACAAAAAACAAAGTCAAGGCTGTAGCCAAAATATTCCAAAAATAAACATGTGTTATAGTACCTTGTTGTACATCTTTAGTCAATATATATGCTGACATGGAAAACTGAATAAAATCACAATACAGAACAGTAAGCATAAGTGGTATATAATCCTGTTAAAAAAAAATAAGTACATGTACCCATGCCCTAAGGTGAATGTAAACATATACTAAAAACATGTACTGATAAAATTTTTTTTAAATAATGCAGTTTTTAAAATGTAACATTAAAAGAGGAAATTGCACCTTCTAGACTTTCTTTTTAAAAATTTTAATAGTCAGGGGAAAAAAGGTATTTCCAGTTTGGAAAATAAAGTTGAATTCAACATGACACTCGTCCTCCCACCCCAGCCCCACTTTTTAAGATAAAACACTGGCATTAGAAAAATACCAGTTTACCATAGTATTAAGCAGAAGTTGGAATGTCACAGAACTGTATGGCCCAAACCTTTTTGGTCATTTGCATAATTTCATTTAACCTAAGGATATAAAGACAAAACACTGAGTTCAGTGCCTAGGGTATAAATATAATAAATACTAGCTTTTTAAAGTAACTTTTATAAAAAGGAAAAGTGAAAAGTCACTATGTGTAGCTATATATTAAATGTATTCCTTTAGTCCTCAGTCCACATTTCAGGTTAAGGATTTGGTTAAGTTTTTTATTGATCAAAAATTATTTTGAGTTGTAAAAACTTTTGTGAAGTATCTTAACTGCACTGGCTAGTATTATCTGTTCTCAGTATGCACTTAAAATCTGTAATTTCATTGTAAAATTAAGTTTTGAAAAGGACAGTAAAATTAAAATCCAATAGTTGAAACTCTTAATTTAAAATTGTTCTGATTATGAAAGTAACACTGTTTAAAACACTGGAAATCAAAATATAGTTACCTGGAAACAGCCCAGAAATAAACTTCCGGCTATACTGCCTTTACACTATCCTCATCTACAACTCATTAGTGAGCATTTTCTTGTGACATTCTTCAGAGGCTAGTTTTGACCTATGGACAAAATCAGTATTCAACTCACTTCCCTTAAAGTTTAGCCCTGCAGAAGTTTTCCAATATTACTTAAGTAATGTTGTATGATGGGACACTCTAGTTAGTATACAAGTTTGTATAACTTCATATCCTTAGAAAGCAAAGTATGCATCCATGTATTTGTTTTTCTATTAAAATTGTGTGGGGATGTCTCGATTACTTTCACTGTTTATTATTTTGGTGATACAATAACCCTCTATAGTATACTCTAACCAACTCTCAACATACATCTCTTACTAATAATAAGTTCATTCATTTAATGAATGACCATTTTGGTCACTGCTTAATTATCACCTTAATAGTTCATTATAACTAATGTGTGAATGTATCCATTACTGCAAAATTGAAATCAAAACTGCATCAACAAATTTTTATTTGTCCAACCTTTTGTCCTTAACACAAATCTTTTAACAGGACAAAAAGCTGGTACCAGTTTTCTATTGTTTAAAAGTTTCTAGGGTATGTTCAAATAAAGTAGCCCTAAATCTCATATCTTAATATAGTTTAGTAGCCTATATGTACAATCAAATAGAATACACTCAAAGAAAACAACTTTCGTTACATACAGTATATTTTATAATTTTTTTTTTGGTACCAGGGATTGAACTCGGGTCCTTGTGCTTGCAAGGCAGGTGGCGGAACCACTGAGCTAAATCCCCAGCTCTCATACAGTGTATTTTAAATAAGAAAAAGAGTAATTCCTATTCCCTAACCCACTCTTTCTCAAGGGTAGCATGCAGCCCACTTAAAATGAACCAGACTGACTTAGTGATTGTTTCTAAAAAGGGATTTCCTGGTTATAGACTCATCTCACAGAGTGGAAGTCAAGTCTAGAATTTGTATTGTAACCAGTTCTGAGTTTCTTCTTGACAATTCATGGTAATGATTTGCCTAAATAGCCCTAAATTTACGTATTTAGTAACCTTTACTACATACTAAGGTATTTATGAACACCAGTAGTAAACTAGTCATGCTCAACATGTTATTCCAAAAGCCAGAATATGTAAAAGCAACCAAATTCCCTTAAATGCTGCCTAAGCAATGTCTTCTGCTCTTATATGGGTGAATCCCAGCAGGCTGACCGAAGCCTGCCAACACAGACTCCAAATCTAAAGCCATATAAACAGTTCAACACTGAAGAATCCACAGTAGTACAGAAACTCTTCCTAGTATTAGGGCCTCTTACTGCTCACTACATTTCAAGATCTCACATGTAGAGACCAACAGAGGAAAATATTTTCTAGCAGTGAAGTCAGTTTTCCTCACATGAGCCTAAAATAACTAAATGCTACTTTTAGTAGATCAAAGCCTATTTTAAAAATTCCCAGGTTCTTAATTTTATGCTTGAGATTTCTGACCTACTCTTTACCTCCTCTCTGGATCAACTTAACAGTAAGCAGACAATTTACATAAACAACAGGAGTCTAGAGTATTTGGTTGGAATAAATTTATTTCATCTGTCTGTAAACAAGGTGTTTAATAGTTATGGCATTTTTTTAAATGCATATTAAATCAGATGAGTTAGACTGTATCCCAGATGTAACAAAGTGCAGGGAAAGAAATGGACAAATCAGCAACAAGATTTGTTTTTAAATCTGTACATTATCCACAAGGCCCAAACAATAGAAGCAAATACTAGAATGTCCCTAAAGTAGTGCCATTCGAAAGAAACCCTTAATAGGTCAGTTAAAATCCATCTCACAATAGCAACAGTTCATTTTAACAATAGTATGGCACAGAATACATATGAAAAAAATTCATTACAAGACAGCCAAGTCCACAATAATGCAACTTCATATAAAAACTTAAGCTGCAAATAAAAATTGGTCCTATGAAGAACAAACTGGACACACTCCAGTATGGTTATGTTGGGATACCTAATGTCCATAATGGCAGCCTTTATAATTTTACTAAAGAGTAGAGCTGGTGTGCAAAGAAAAAGACAGGAACAAAAATCTGAGCTGTTGCAATGATGGAATGTCCCTGGGGATTCAATCAGTATGGTTACTACAAGGTCATGGGAGGAAGTGTCTTTTGCTCTTGTTTTGTAGTTGCACTCTTCATATGTCCTATAGACGCTATTAAAGAATGTAAAGTGCAACCACAATACTAAAAGCAAACTACTGCAGCTCTCAATAACTCATCAGCAGAAGGGGTATTAATTGGTTAAATAAACCAGGCACTGCATAAAAAAAAAAAAAAAGGAGGATGGAAGCAAACCAAATACCTTATATGCAAAGGAAGGGTTGAGAAAAGAGCAAAGGAAAGATGCATGCACTTTTTCCTCCCAACCATGCGCTACAAAAGGAAGACTAAATGAGCCAAGTAAATGCTCAAAGTGCTGAAAAAGACACTGATCAAATTAGAGATTGTACAACTGGCACCTTGCTTAATATTAACTTATTTTAGTAATCAATATCCCATTAATTGCTAAGACAAAGTGATGCCCAACTTGGCATGCCCCCTCCCCCTAATTTCAAGGTATCATGCAAATCATTATTGTGCTCCAATTATGTTGCCAAATAAAGGTTGGTTACATACAGTGGTTAACATACAAATGATCCATTGGGCAAACAGGAATCATGACATTAGAAAATAGGTAAAGAAAACTAGCTACCATCTATAGTCTGGTAGCACTGTGACCAGAATTGGGGTGGTGATGAAGACAGTTGCTAGGTAGATGGGGAGAGGCTGCTTACACATCAGACCTCCTCAGGTATAAAGCGAGTTCAAATGCTTTCTTGTTAAGTGTGCCTCCGTGGACACCTTCCTTTCCCATGACTATAACCAATGCTGGAGTACACAAGGAAACAAAACAAAAATGAACAGAATTATTTAAGGGGGGGAGGGCAGAAAGAAAGATACCTTTCCCCACCAACAGAGGGATACAAAGGAGACACAGGTTCATACCCCATCACCCTGCATTGCTAATAAAGTTTCCAGAATTAAGACTTAAGCTTACAGCTAGGAAAGTTTAAGAGCAATTTTCCCCTAATACTTAACAGTCTGCCTAGCAGCTAGAACCCAGAGTCTCTCAAGTATTTTGCCATTGAGTATGCCTTCTTATTCAATCCGCCTCCATGGACCCCTTCTTTTCCCATTACAAAGACCAAGACTGAAAGAGAAAGAAGAAAAGTGTTTCAAAAGAAGTGTTAATCAAGAAAGTCACATAAGTTTTAGCAGACAGATCCCTGATTAATAAGTTAACATTAAGTTAGTTTTCCATGAACTGTCAAGCACTGAAGTCAATTAAGTCTCCAAATTGGAGAACTTCTAAATTAGTAATACACTAAAAACAATACAGTTAACTATTGCAAATTGGAAGCTCTGTCATGCAGGAGCAAAGTTCCACACAATTATTTTTTATGCTAGCTATGGGGAAAAAAAGCAATAATTTAAAATTTTAGGGGAAAAATTCTAATTGATATGAAATGGATTATTTATCCCAAAAATATGCTTTAAAACAAGGCCCTAATTTACATATTCTCCCCAAATTTAGTATGCTTGATAAGTATAAAATAAGTCTTATCAATGAGACTATAAATATGCTTGTTACTTTCAAAGGAAAATGAAAATCAAATTTAAACATCATTTGAGAAAAGGCCAAGTTAGAAGTATTTAAGTAAAAATAAATTTAAAAAAAAGTATTTAAGTCTCACACATACTGCTATTTTCACTTTGCTAAATCTTGCTTTTCAATTGAGTCTAAAATCCTGAAATGGGCTATTTCTAATGCCAGGTTCTTTTATGATGCAATTCAAAATCCTCAAATGTATGTACA